CAGCCTCAAATAATTGCATCTCTTTTCATAAAGTCTAGCCCTTTCCTCGGGTTTTTAATAGTTGACCATCTACCTACAGACACAGTACAGTCATCATGAAGCATCCATTTCTCATTTATAAATTATTAGCTGTTAGTTTTAAACACCTTTCTTTTTCAGAATGACACTTTGTTTGCTAGTCTTGATGCATATGATTATATAAGCATTTATATATATACAGTAATATCCAAAGATGAAGCAGTATATATTTAAAATCTGTAACTATTTCAATAATGAATCCATACATTTGTGTACACAAAACTGCATGACATATGATTTTCTCCCCATGTCTGTAAGGGGGTAAAAGTACGTTCTCCATGTTCATTAAATGATGTACTATTTGCATAAGTTTGATTTCAGTGGGAGGCAAAAAGTAGAGGAGGAAAATTTTAGTGTTTGAACAGAATCACCCAGTGTTTGATAGAAGATTATTTTTGTATGTTTTGTGATAAGAAGATGCCATTGAATGTACACACATTTTCAATAGCAAATAAAGATGCATCATTGGATACTGAACAATTAAAAATAATGACTTGGAAAGCACACAGATTTTTCATTTGAGGAGGAAAACATTCACTGCATGTGACTTTAATTTTGTTGCAATATCTACTAAGCTTCTAAAGTTAATAAGCAGAGCCATGATTARGTGAACAACAGCAATTCAAGGGGTTAATTAATTTATAACACAAAGAAATTGGCTGGCAATTTTAACTTTTCTCATCAGAATTGCCAACATGAGAAAGTTTGTTCTCACCTCTATATATGCTAGGCTATTTAAAATCATAGTCTAGATTTCAGCCAGAGTGAAAATGCCATTCTTTCCTTTTTCTTTTTTCTTTCTTCCTTTTCTTTCTTCCTTTTTCTTTTTTTCTTTTTTTTTTCCCCATGTGTATACATGGATGTTAAAAAGTTAAAAATTTTGAGAGCATGCTTGGAATTTTACAYGCTTTTCAGATAGAAGTTGCAACACAAAAACATACAATCATCATAATTTCCCTTCCATGTGTTTTCTCCCCATGTGAACATTAGCCCTTTAATTTGTTTTTAGATTAAAAAAGGAGTTGCCTTCTACATCCTAGCCTGTGGCCCAGGATCAYGCACTCTACCTGGCCCTGGGGTAAACCCAGGTAATATTTACAGGATAGGTAGGAAAAGATTTCCTCACTATATAAACTTGCTTAGAATACCTTAATCGTAGCAGACTAAAATAAACACACACAGAAAATATGTGTGCCTACTTACCCATATGCAATTGCATATACCCCAGGCAGACCAATTAAAAGTAGATTAAAGGGCAGAAGTAAATTAAAGAATTTCAAAGGTGCTTCCACTTTTTTTTTTTTTTTTTTTTWAATAGCACAAGTTATATCTGGTTATTCATATCTCACATTGATTTATACTTTGCATTAACCAAAATCCAGAGCAGAATATGTCTGTCCAGTACTGTTTTCCTTCACCTTTCTCCACTTCCTGTATAACCTTAATCTCTTCCTTTTTTTAAGTATACTTTTTTAAGTATAACCTATAGTATTGCAGGCAGCACTGGGCCATAGYGAACAGGTTCAGAAGAGAAAAGGCTCTGCTCTTTAGCACTTTACTTAGAAGTAAAATAAAAGTCCTTCTTGGTCCTCCTTCAGCTCAGCCTTTAGAGAAGCCATTGCAGGTTCTTAAAGCTGACATGTATTCGGCTTTCATTTAGTGAAAGATTGCTATGGTAAATCTCAACACAGAATTTTTGGTTTTCAGTGGGAGGCAGGGAAAGGAACATTTAAAATTGTTTTTTATTTTTCCTTGTTTCTATATATTTTGCATGAAAATGACCCAGCATATGAAAAAAAGAGATACTTCAGGAGAGCTTGAACATCATAAGAACATTTCTCATGATTCATTTTGAATCCTGGGAGACTTGGTTCAAATTTACAGAGATATTTTACACAGCAGATTTTCATCCGGAATTCAAAGTGAATTTTATAGAAACATGAATTTTAAAACTGGTTGCTTTCTGGTGAGAACAGAATAAATGTCATAAGGCTTTTTAATATATATGTCTTAATGTAAATTTTAGAATATATTTTTGTAATGAGGAAAACAAAAGCACATAGCTGTGAGGAAGTTAATAGGTAATTCAGATATCATTAATTTGATACAATGGCTACACTTGGAACTCCAAGACTCAATCAATCCTTACATACAGTCGTTCTCATTATTTTATTTTATTTTTTTTTTTTAAAGAATGTGTGTCCATTGCCATGTCTTTCACTGAGGAGAAAGGCTTTGGCCGGAGTGAAAGCCTGCACGGTATTTCGGTGCCGGCGCGCACAGCAGACAGCCACAACAGCTTAACTTCCTAGGGGTCTTGGCCTCCCACTTCTGCCTTATGAGAATTTTATCTGCAGTTTTACAGACACCAGGATAACTTTTGAAACCAAATCCGTGTCAGCGAAGGGAAAAGGCCATAGAGCGGGCACTAAAACAGCTTCCAGCTGCAGGAAGGCTGCTCATTCAGGCTGCGGAGCAGCGAGTGAGGAGCACGGCTCCGCGCTGCAGCCAGCACCAGCCCCCATGGCAGCTGCCCCCATGGCATTCTGCCTTCACCCCTTCCTGCCCTGCTAGGTCCTTCCCACACRCTATGTCAGCGCGGTCCTGCCCCAGGAAAGCCCGATCCAATCACGGTGCCCACGTGGGGTTTCCAGCGGGTGCCCAGCTGGGAGAGCCAAGCTAGAGGAGGTCAGAGCCGCCTCAGAGCGAGGAGCTCGCTGCTCTCCCTGGCTTCTCCTTGGCTTCTCCTTGGCTTCTCCTGGGTCCTGGAGGGCAGAGCAGGGCCCCGTCCCCAGCAAAGCCCGCTGCAGCCGGTCGTGCCTGACACCCCTCGCCGTTGTGGCGGCTGCTCATGGCAGACCTGTCACAGCCAAGTGTTGTGGTACAGGCTACACATCATCTCCCGCTCTCTATGATGGGGTCATCCCAAGACTTTCTACAGCTGCAAGCCGTGCTCACAGCCTGGCAGCATTCAAGAAGTGCTGATTTAATAAAGCCACACACCACTGACCAAAAAGATGAGAACCTAATTTGGAAATGATGTGTGTTAGGCTCAGAAATGCCAAGTTAAGACTTTGCAATAGGCAAACTTCAGTTATTTATTTTAATTGTTGTCAAACAGTAATCAAAACACTATCAAACAAAATCATTATTTGGCTAATGCCAAATTGACGTGGCTTCTTTGAGCAGTGTGTTCGGCAATATTTGACTATTTCTTAAGTAAAGTCATAGAATCGTAACATCGGTGTTTTATAAAGAAAATGGCGGTGGTTTCAGCCAGAAGAGGCATTTTTTGGTGAAAATCCTTTCGAGTTAAAGCTCTGCGCCAGCTCCTGGTGCCCATYGAGACACGCACAGCGGGAGCCGGGGGGAAGCAGAGCGACTCGCGCCGCGGTGCCCGCGCGCCCGCGCCGCTGTCAGGAAGCCGGCGGCCGAGGAAGGCGCTTCCGCTCACGCAGCCTGTGAGGGGCTCTGCACGACAGGGCAAGATGGCCACCGCACGGCCCGCTCGTCTCCAGCGCACGCCGGGAGCGCTGCGCAGGGCCCACTTAGAGGTTTTGTGTGGCCTGATGTTGTCTGTGGGGGAGACTGCCTGGGCAGTGCCGCTGCCGGCAGCTCTCAGAGCTGCTGCTGCTGCAGGGCCCGACCCTTGGCCTGGCAGGAAGCCGCCGCAGGGAGAGCGCTCCCCTGTCACCGCCGAGTTCACACTCCCCGGGGACCAGCTGAGCAGGGAGCTGTTGCCGTCCTACATACAAACATTTTCCTCAGAAAGCTGGTCGACAGGGGTGGGGTATTTCTGGAAGTGTATCCCCAACTTTATGTTTTACTGCACTGCATGTGGATATTGCTTGTCCCTTGTCCCCCTTCCTTCTCAGCCACCATTTAATGTAAAGGTGGTGCCAAAACATCTTTGGTTTGGTAAATGGTGCCAAGCTCTTCTCAGTTGTGACCGTGGCAGAACACGGGGCAATGGGTACAAATTGAAACACAGGAAATTTCATTCCATACGAGGAAGAACTTCTTCACTGTGAGGGTGACAGAGCCCTGGCACAGGCTGCCCAGGGAGGTTGTGGAGTCTCCTTCTCTGCAGATCTTCCAAACCTGCCTGGATGCCGCCCTGTGCCCCGTACTCTAGATGTCCCTGCTGGAGCAGGGGGCTGGACTGGATGGTCTCTATAGAGATCCCTTCCAACCTCAACCATTCTGTGATTCTGTGATACAGATCCTTTCCTCTCTTAGGGCTGATTAATGTGCAGTGAGRCCATGTTACAGCGCTCCAGCATAGGAAAGCTGCCTTAAAATGGGRCTAAATGACAGCAGTTTACAGACACTTAGCCCCTCGTAATCAGAAGATTATGATTTTGGCTTGCTATATATGAGAATCAGGCCCATCTAATGTACTTTAATTCTTTGCTGTGGAACTTACACAGCAAGTGCAGATTACTTATAAAAGCACAAATTCTCARAATATAAGACTACTAGCTTCCCCTGCTTGTAGTACCTGACCTAGTGAATATAAAACTTGGAACTACATCCTGCTAAGGCTTTATCATGTCTAAGGAGGAAGCAAGTAGACAGGCAGCTTTTCTACCCTACRGAGGCTCCCCACGTCTTGAAGTGGGTGTTCACACCAAATTCATATCCCCTTTCTCTGGCAACACAAAATTCACTCGTATGCCACATTTGCAGACCTGCCCGCGATACAGGAAATTAAACCGCTTTCTGCAATCAATRTATATGTATCACTTTTTCTACTGGAACTTCTATTTTCCGTTGAGTTTCCGAAAGGAAAAATACAAAGCAGCAGAGTGCACAGCCCAATTCCACCTTACTCTGACAGCGACAGCAAGCAAGCGTGCACCAAGACCAAAAAAAACCAGACCATCTATTTGCTAACAAGTGTCTAATTTCATTTATCCTACCTTTGTCCTCTGCAAATGTTTTCTTCAGGACAAATTTGTCAAAGCTGGCCTCCTCCGGGTGCCAGAGCCCCTCTCCTGCCCCATCCACAGCTGGAAACACAGGGGAAAGAAGACGACAGAAAATCTCAGAGCCACGTTCAAACTTCTTTGCATGGCCCTGTGTTTGAAGGATGGTTCCGGCCCCTGCACACTCCTTCCTCATTCACCTTTGAGATGAGCTGCCTGTCTTTGGCAACGTGACCAGACCATCCTGCAGCCACCAAGATGCTCTGGCGTGCAGCTCTTGTGAGCAGAAGCTGAGAAAGCGAGTGCAGAGGTTACACACGCAAGCCCACTCACACCCCTGCCCTGTCTAGCAGGGTCCAAGGAGCATGGCAGAGGGAAGAAGAGCAAAGCAACAAGTTACATCCGCAGCCATTTAGAGGMACCCAAAGTCCTTCCTGCGCCGCATGAAGGTGGGGATGAAGGTTGGAGCCAGATGGGCTTCCACTGCAGCCAGAGCCAGGGACAAAGATACCAGCAAACTGAACATAGTTCAAACCTCACATTGGTCCTAATAACCTAGACTTCACCGTTCACAAATTCCCACCATAAAATCTTAACCTGAATTTTCTCAGAACCATGTAAGGTGAAACACAGCAGTTTCCTCATAGCCCTGGTGTACTTCATGGGGAAGGAAAGTGTCCTATGAGGTGTCACAGGTTACATGTGCGTGCCWCTGTTGGGTTCAACAGTAAAAGGCATCAGAATCAGACCCACCATCTTTGCAGTAATTCACTTTTTCTTTCCTTTTTTTCCAACATCAGTTACAATGTAAACTACAATATAAATTACAATGTAAAAAAAAGTGGCACTGGCCACTTTTCTGCTTTTATGCAAGACCTTTTTATGATAAAGTGGAAAAAATCTTTGCAGCAAACAAACCCAGGGCAGCCTACGTGACCTGGAGAATTAGACCAATGTCTAACASAGTTAGCACAATACCGAAGATTTTAACAGACGGTATTAAAACTASTACTGATTGTGCACATCACTTTCAGGAATTTACTAAAAAAAGTAGAACTAAAACCACTGGATAAATTCACATCAAGACATTTAGAAGAAAAAAAAAAGAACTCACCCGTCGCAGGAAGCTGAAARCGGCCGTTGAAAATAAACCTTACGGAAGTCAAATACTCTTAAGCGAGATGGGGAGGAAGAAAGAAGCGCAGAGCTTTGTGTCTTCTTGGTTTTCAGAGGGATTATTTTTAACCAGACGAGGAAAATTATATTAGAGTGGAAAGGGGGGAAAATAAAAATAAAGCAGGAAGCGGGTAGCACTGCACGTACAGGCCAAATAAGCCCCGGAGGCCGGCTCGGCTCGTGCGGAGGCCGCGGAGCCCGCAGAGCGCGATGAGCACTCGCCGAGCGGTTTGGGTGAAGTCAGCTTCCTGGCGCCAGGCCCCGGCGCAGGTTTTGTTGTGGGCTGGGGGATGAGTCGGTCTGTCTTATTCGCCCTGGTGACTCGGTGGCAACGGGCGCGCGTGTCAAAACTGCTCCTTGAACGGCGGGGCGGGCAACAAAGCCTCCGGGCTCCGCACGTTTGTGTGTTGCCGCTGGCTGTGCCCGCAGGCAGCGCCTCGCTGCTGAGGTTGGCAGCACGGAGCCTCCCAAAACCTCCCGTGCGAGGAGAAGAGGAGCAGAGCGGCAGCCGCCCAGCTGGGCTGGGCATGGCTGACACGCCAGCAGCATGAGCGGGGCTTGGGAGGTGTTTGTGCAGGCTGGAATGTGGTCCCGGCTTGAGGAGAGGAGCACGTGTGTTTAGCTGCCCTCACGCAGCACACAGGGGAGATGCTTTGAAAAGGATTTGAACTTGGTTTATGAGGATTTCTCTTAATAAAGTGATGGTTCCCCAGGATCACTGGTTAGATGAGCCTGCCATTTAACTGGCATATGGGTCCTGTGTGTGCCCTCTTCTCCCAGCACAGAGGCCAAGCAGGAGGTGCCATGATAGACCACAGGCATGGGGAGGCCTGGCTTGCCCGGCAGGGACAGGCTCTCATCACTTTTAGGCTGCCTGCAGCAAAGCTCTGATGACAGCACAGGGATTTCAGTGCCTGGCTCTGCAGCAGAGTCCTGGCTGTGCCTATGCTCTGGGGCCTGCAGGAATTTTCCAGCTCGCTGCATGCTCCTTCCTGGCTCAGGCACAGCCAAGCTCCCTCATCTTGATGTGCAGGGGGAGTCCTCTGTTCTCCCCATCAGAAGGAAATTTGGCTGCACAGATGAGGAGTGAGTCACCAGATGGTACAAGAGGTCCCCACATTTTGATGATTAGGCAATTGGGATTGCAGGGAGGGCTCTCCAGTCCCGCACTCCTGAAGGAGCCTGGCACTGCAGGAATGTGCCCAAGGAGAAGGCAAGGGCCCCAAACCCGACCAGTGCAGCAGGACGTCTGCTCCTCAGCCAGAGACACGGTGCTGCCTTTCCTGGCCACCTCAAAACTGGCCTGGGAGTTGGACACCTGAAGCCTGAGGTGTTTCCAGAAATACTTTGGGTTCAGCAAAGCTGTTTCTGACCATCTCTAACCATCTCTAACCATGAAGCAACAGGAACAGGTCTGACCCGGGTCTGAAGCCACACGTCCTGTGCTGGTTTCAGGAGAGGGGCTCTCTGGAAAGAGCTAGCAAATTTGTTTGCATAAGCATGATGCCAGTATAGCCCCTTCCAAGAAGGATTAAGAGCAACAGAATAAATTACAAGAAAAAGCAAGAAGAAAAGAAAAAGATAATTTATGAGTAGATGAAAAGTAACTAGTGCCAAAAAATATAAATAGCTGCAGCAAGAACATTACCTGTGTAAACATGTTGTGAACCTGCTGAGATGAAGCTCCTAGAACAATGTTGCACAGATTGTCTGGGGAATCAGTTTGTTTGTTTTTCCTGTGAAACAAAATAAGGTAATTATCAATAAGGATGAAGGTAACGAAAAGTAGCTCACCAAAGACCTTTTTGGAATACTTTTTTCCTAAATAGTTCAGGGTTCTTTTTGATTTAAGATTTTGGATAAGGAGCTTCAGCACATTATCAGATTATCTAAGAGCTTATGCCACTAAATTTTCATAGCAAAACATCTATTCTTCTGTTTTTAACCAGGTTTGTGTTTCTCGATAATAGTGTGTGCAATCAGGCAATAAATTTCCATTGCGATCATGATAAAGTAAGCCAGACACCCAAACACTTTGAAATGTTTCCACCAGAGCCCTGCGGCTTGTCAGAAGTAGGGAAATAAATACCATTCACAAATTATACTCATATAAATGTCTCAGGTGAGCATCACCAATTTTGGTTCTGCTACAGATAGTAGCTGCTAAAAAATGCAACTATTTTTTTTCTGTTTTGTGCTGCAGACTAATCCAGATGTGAGACCATCTGGGTCAGCAGTTTGCATTTTGGATAAAGAACGCACCCATCTGTAAAATGCTTCATAAACAACTTCTAAATCAACTGAACCCCGTGAAAAAGCAAGACTTTAGACTTAGAAACAAACTCTAAAATATCTTGATTTCCCTTCATTCCCCTTCAATGCCCTTCCTGGAGTAACTAAACCCAATAATTGATTGTTGATAGGAGAATTTGAAAGATACTTTTTTCACTTCTTTTTTTTTTTTTTTTTTTTTTTTTTTTTTTGGTTTTTTTATTTTTCAAGTAATACTTGGAGCTCTTTCGTGTAGATGCATATGCTACATCTAGCCCTTCATCCATGATTTTACTTCTAGTAGTCTAGAAGGTTACAAAGAGATCCCCAACATCCTGCTCTTTGCACAGTGCATATGGAATTCCCAAATTAGGTGTAATATTTAGGTGCTTAGCTTCCACATTTGCTTTCATCTTTGGGTTTTGTCTTTATCTTTAAGCAGTTTTTCTGCTCCTTTTCACCTGTTCTTGCTGTGTGATACAGAGGAAAATTTGCCTGTGAAAGAGTATTCAAAAATGCCTCGCTTCTCCTTTTTTCAAAACTCAGTATGAGTCATATTATCTGGGGCCCTCAGAAATAAACACCTTGTTGTGGAAAATATTTATGGGGGTGGAGCGGAGGTTTGTAAATTATTTTTTGCATTGAAAAATCGGGTGACAACAAAAAGATAAAATCTTAAACCTTATGTAACTAGGGGCTAATGAAAAAACACATGATTTTTTCATCCAGGGTTTTGTCATGCTGGGCACAGGCTGGTTTACTGTGAAAGGTCTCGTTTGTCTCTGAATCCCCGTTGTCACTTGGAGGAGCCAGCAGCTGCGGGCAGGTGCTGCCGAGGGCTGCGAGGGAAGACGTTCCTGTCAGCCCTGCCGGATTTCCTTTCGCTCTCAGGTTCTCTCAGCCCTGACCTTGGCCAGCCCCAAATATACTGTATGTGCAGTACTCAGGAGGCAAACCATGACCCTCTCCATACCCTTCATATTTAGCCCTGCGAGCCTTTCTCATATCCCAGGTGAACATCGTATTATACCGAATAAGGACATGTGCTCCCTGTATCTAGACTAACATTTTAAACCTACACGGATTGAGCTTATTCCATAGAGACAGAACGCACATTGTTGTTAAGAGTAACAAGGGAAAGCAGGAGAAATGTGTGCCGTGAAGATGCCACCTCCAGCTCAGGAAGCAAGGGGTGCTGCTATCGCCGTCGCCAGCCCGTGCGCAGGCCTGGGAAGGCTGTCCGGGCTCACTGGTCCTGGTGGCAGAGGGCACTTCCCTTCCAGGGGAGCACTGGGGATAAACACATCAAGGAAAGGGGGCTTCCTGCCAGCCTGGAGGAGTCCGTCACAGAAGCCCCTAAGACAGCAAGGCACAGCCTTTCAGTGAATGAGAGAGACCTAGAGAGAAAGGGGAAACAGAAGGACAGTTTCGTAAGCCGTGTGACATTGATTTGTGGTGAAACAGCTCGCGCTTCCAACTATTTTGCTTCCGCGAATTTGTGCTTTGGTTCTTAGGCAGCTTAATTCAGTGCTTGGATATCCCCAGGTCCGGCATGGACATAGTTTAAAACACATAGAGACCCCGGGCCCCAAGGCCAAGCTG